ACGCAGGAGCATTTGTTTGGCTTAATCCTAGCCTTTAGCCTCTAACCAATCTTCTCTACTGAAACCTGTAACCTCTTAAACACGAGAGCCAACAAAATGTCCTAACATCTGAAAGATGGTCCTCACGCTTACATCTTCGGGAGGACATTTGGTCCTGTGTTGTAACAAAAGGACATGTACAGTCGCACACCCAGCTCGAGGCTCCTAATGAGGCCTGTCCCCGATAATGGGGGTAATCAGTGGAGCCTATCTGGCCTCTGCCCGTGCTGACATGCTGCCAGCCTTGTCGTGGCTTATTTATACATGACTGATCTATCAACACTGGCTCTATGTTTGGTGAGCCTCAGTGTCCCAAAATAGAAATAATTAGGACAGGGCGGAAAAAGAGGAAAAGTGAAAACGTGTCTCAAAGCGCATACCCTTCGAGTAGACCCCCACCGGCCCCACCCGATCCTCTGCCAATCTCTATCCATCCTACACTGTCTCTCCTGTGTTTTGTTTTCTGCAGCAGGCCGGGGGGAGGAAGACGGGTGGAGAGGGCTGTCTGTGTGGTCTCAGTGGGGTGGTGATTTGAAGTCGGGCGAAGCAGAGTGCTTTAGATAACCACACACACTGATGCTATCTCTGATTGCTGTGGATGGGTCCTTTTCTTTGGGGATTTAAGACACAAAAACAAGCTGACTTACACAAATACTTTAATTAATTAGTAAACTTACTACAGTTTTCATTGGTCAGTAATTATTAATGATCGATTAGGTAATCTAGATACACTTATTAATTGCAAAATGCATTTAAATGGGTTTCTGTAATAACTGAGCAAGTTATGTGTTCACTGGGTGGATGCTAAACAGATAGCGGTTTCCAGCAGAGAGCAAAAGGAGTACAGCATATTTGGTTCTTATCAGAGAGAGAATGAACCTTCATTTGAGATGCTATTTGTCATCTGATGTTTGCACGGTGCAGCAAAAGTCTTTTAATCTTTCAACTCTTTCAAAATAAGTTCCCTGTATGCTGAAGTCTGATTACTATAGGCTGCATAAAGGAACTTGTTTGAAGAAAATGAAGTCTATAGAAACCTGACAGAATAATGCAGCTGAAATAACAAAAGCTGAGTTTTTGATGTCTGTAGCTGATTTCACTGCACAGGCTTAGGATCACCTCTGAATACCATGTTCAAAGAATATAGTTGCTTTACACACAAATGTTAAAACAGTCTCCACAAACAGCAGTGTCTTCTCTGGGCCTGAGCTCCTTTAAGGCGAGGTGGAAAAGTTGCCTTTTAAAATGGTGAGTAAAAAATTGTGTTGTTATTTTTCAAACATTCACAGATGCTGTATGCTCAAGCTGTTTTTATATCGATACGCGGTTCAAAATACAGCATCTGCAATGGTATGGCGTTATATCAGTGTACATGGCACATCTGTGAAGGCACCACTAATGCTGAACAATATGTGCAGGTTTAGGAGGAACATCTGATGCCACCCAAATGACTTTTTCCTTTTCAAGGAAGCCCTTGCTTAATTCAGTAAGAGAATGCCAACACAAAGATGGAGTGAGATGTTGCTATACCCACTCTCCGACTACAGTGTGACCGTACTTGGCTTCAGGACTTCGGGTCAGCAGTGGAGATGTTTGGGGCCCTGAATATTGAACCGTCAGTGGGTCTGCCAGTGGAATTTGTCGTTGTTGGTGCTATTTGAATCCAGTTTGAATCAACACATTGTTTGGATTCCTCCATCAGATGACTCAGAGGACATTCAAATGACTCCAGCTGTGGTCAGTGGTTTTGGATCCTGACCAGCCTCTGCTCCACTTAACGCACATGCAGCTGAAGACTTTGTCTAACACCTGTTTGAGCTCCACTGCCACGAGGACAGATTACTACCTCATACCACAATACCTGCATTGATTTTACATTTAAGCTTTTCATTGTATCACACTGAGATTCTGAGCTCTTCGCTTTTTTGTATTTTCTTAACTGAGCTCCTTGTTTAGTGTAATTTTGCTTTTTGAGCTATTTTCTTCTGTGACAGCCGTGACACAGTAGTAAATAAAGTATGTGTTATCTTATGTTAAGCTTATCCTAAAGAAATCTGGGTGGTAAATCGACATGCTTGCATTTGCAGATCACTTCACGGTTCATAACTCCACCTAAATCTCTGCTTTTGTAAAAACCGGGCTGACGAGCATTCGATGTGATACAGTGTAAAGAGTATAAAGATGTTGTTTTCACTCATGCTTCTCAGCTTCATGCCTGCATAAATGACATGGGAGGATGTAAAGCCTGAGGGTATGCATTACTCCGGGCGAGCTTGTAAACTAAGTGGTCTTATCATACTCTCATCTGTCCGCAGCAGCAATAATGAAAGCGGAGGAGGGCGTGGTGGGGCCGAAGCCATGTGTGTGTGTAGCTGTATGTAAGTGTGTCAGGGCATGTTGTCTGAACCTAAAATCTCTTATGGTTTTGACAATAATGATTGACAATAATGATGTTAAGGAAGCGAGGCGGCAGGTTTAATTGGCATGTCTGAAGTCACATAGTCTCTCACACACACACACACACACATACACACACTTAGCCTAAACAGCCCCATAATAGTCCCAAAATATAAACCCACCCTGGAAGCATGGCTACAAATACCCTCCTCTCCACACTGGTCAGCAGAGAGGGAACCGCACAGAGACGCACAGTTGGACCCGAGACAGCTTAGAGTCGAAATCCAAAGAGAAAACCAGAGATTTTAAGGTGAGCAAAGGGTTTGTTTTCAGATTCTTTTTGTTGTGTGACTGCACCCTTACAGGGAATCAAGACTCACAATCTCTCTTTTGCACTGTTCAGATGCTTGGCTCTAAATGGATGCTGCCCTTCCTGGCTCTTTACCTGCTGCTGGAAGAGATATCTGCTGCTGTCATACCAAGCAGATCCAGAAACAAGAGGGTAAGCCCTCTTGTTTTTTTTCTTAACAGACATTAAATTTATTACCACTTTCGGACAAGCAATTTAAACAACTACTGGCATTTAATCCTTTGCCATCTTATTGAATGATCTGATTACGTCCTCAGGAGGTCACCTTAATGGACCAAGAAGTCTTTTCCCACCTGTTCGATCACTTGGACATGAGCGACCTCTCTGTGGGTGACGCAGGGGGGATGGTGGGAGATGTGGACAATGGCTCCTTTCAGTCAGAGACTTTCATCACCCCGACAGAACACCTTCCCGCCCAGCGGCAGCACCCGAACCAGCACCAGCATAACCGGAAAGCCAATGAGAAGAGGTTAGGACAAATGGCTCTAGATATTTGTCGAACAGTTGGTTATACAGCCACACGTGATAGAGAAAAGGTGTAAATAGTACAAATTAGCTGTAAATACGGCAACTATGTGCTTATGCAGCTTAAATAAACTGACAAGTTATGATTTATAGGGATGATTATTACTTATATTAGATGTATTAATCCTATGATGTAATTTACAACAAAGTCAAGTAGATGAAGATGAATATCTTAACACTATTGAAGATTTTTAGCTCTTGGCCAAAATACATGTAATTCTGATGTAAAAATGAGAAGATCAAATGATCAGTCCGGAGCCAAATGATGTCTTTTGATTTGATGCTTGCACGTCTTTGATTCCCTGATGTTGTGTTGAATTCTGACTGCTTTCCTCTCTACAGGAGGAAGGTCGCTCCTCTGGACCCCATCGGCGGCTTTCAAATATCCAGCTTCAGAACCCGAATGGTGAGCGGCAAATGACACTTATCCCCATTTTCCCACCAAATAACCTGCGTCACAGCGACATTTAAATGCCACAAGCTCAACACACTCGCACTGTTGATACATAAAGTATACACGTGGGCCTGAAACATCGATGGCTTTAGCTTTAAACAGAAGTTATTATTCAGATTATTTTTAGCAGACTGCAAAGTAAAAAATATTCAAACAGAAATATATGCTGTCCCATTCAGTGCAAAGAAAGCAATCTATTCCTAAACTGGTATTCTATGAACAAAAATATCTAATAAATAGTTTAAAATATACACAAATACACATACATATATGTATGTGCATATGTATGTATATATATATATATATATATGTGTATGTGTGTGTGTGTGTGCATGTGCTTGAGTCATTGAAGTCATTATTGCTTGAATGTCCTATTTGCATATGCAGTTATCATCTTTCATGGCTTGTGTAAGTTTTCCATGACACTGGTAGCCATTTCTAGCCACTACAACAATGCTTCAGCATTAATAATTTAAAAACCTTGCACTTGTTTAATATGAAGAACTGAGCATTTATATATTTGTTTTGCAGGATGAACCAGACCTCCACAGGGAAGATTATCAGAACTAGAAAGCCTGCTAAATACCATGCATGAACTTTTGTATAACTTGGCATTTATTCAGTATCTGTGCCATACTAACGAGTGAGATTCCTGCCAGCTGTCGCCCTCTGCTGGTAGAAGACAAAACCTGACAAACACTGCTGTGTGCCAACACCTAACAAAATGTGATATGTAACAGTTTCTTGGGTTTTTTTTGTGTGTGTCATTTTATTAAAGAAAATTAAAAAACTCAACCAGCATGTTCCCAAAGACTTTTATTTTTCAAGCTACAATTAAAGGAAAAAAAACCAAAACAATATCAGACTGCAGAAAATATAGAATTTGCTTGAGTATTCTCTCTTCACTTTCACATATGTACAGTTGTCAAAGAACAGGATATGTACACAGAATTTTAAGTTGTACGGAGAATGCAACTGCTACTGGAGACTTACCATGACTCTCCCACGAACAAAAGAAAAAACGCACATGGTAAAACCAAACAACATAAACAAAATGACAACCTAGACAGCCTCAACTTGTTTTCTGTACACTACAACTTTGTTCTCGATGTGAGACAATCATATGTCCTTTTTCTGATGCGGGGTGCATCTCTAATCACCCCCTTCCTCAGAAAGCCTAGAAATAAAAAATACATATATATATATATATATATATTTTTTTTTTAAACAACCATTCATAAACGAGCCTCAGAGCTACTTTGACATCGTAAAGTTGGGCAACAAACCAGTCGTCTTACAGCAACGTTCCCCCCCGCCCCAATATCAGATGATTTAAATACAAAAAACAAACAAACACATAAGTAAAAACTGACTCACGGTTAATGGCTAACTGATTAATAAGCCGGACTGTGAGAAACACTAAGCACGCTGTCATGAATGCACATGACCAAGTCCGGTTTTAATTAGCTGTAGCTCATCTTAGCCCCGCCCCAAATTTTCAAAAAAAAAAAAAAAAAAAGGGAAAAAAAAGGCGGGGGTGTATTTAGGTTTTAAAAGTGCACTGCTGAAAGGACAGTTTGAGTAAAACTAGATGCATATGAAGATGCAAAGTGATAAATCTTATGCAAGTCAATGAATTGAAACTTCTTATTTCAGGAGGCTTAAAGACAACCCAAGAAAAAGCTCAACACAAACTACCAGAGTACGATCGAAACCAAAACGAACTGCCCATCTGGCATTATGACGTGCGTATAAAGTAATAACGGGAGTGACATTATCCACCTCTTAACTGACAATGTAAGCTGGGCTTCCCTCTCCCCAACTCTGCATGTGTTGTATTGATTTAAGGTTGGGAATGATTGGACCAAGCTCAGGGTGGTACTCCGGAGACCAAAGAAGAAGGTTTTCACTAATTTGTCAATATGCGCAAGAAATAATTTACAAGTCAAAAGTGGACCTTCAGTCAATATGAGAACTATTGAGAAAAAAAAAGTATATGCACATCACCAGAACTGTAATACTAAAGCCAATCAATGCTGACGTCAATTAAGAACTTAAAAATGATTTGGAACCGTCAATATTGCCTTTTTTTTCCCAGTTCTTCACAGTAGCAAAAGGGGGAACGAAAACTAGACGTGAGGGATAAATAAGAATGGTTGTGATTGTCGAAAGAAATCCAACAAACTGACTTTACAGTTGCCCTCCGGGTGATAGTTTAGGCTGTTTTGGCTGTAGGCATCAAAGAAAGTTAAGTGTCAGACGACAGCAAAAACAGATCAAACGCTCCTTTTCTTCTCCAGTCCTGCTCAGCTTTAAGTGTCTTTTTTGTGTCCCGACCGCCTCAAGTCCCTGCACTTGTGGCAGTAAAAGATGTCGGGAACGTTTGACTTCTTGATCTTTGCGCATGACAAGTGCACCCATATGCCGCACTGGTTGCACTCGATCATCGGCCGCCCCGCGAATGGCTTCCCGCAGTAACAGGTGATCAAGTCCCATGAATCATCCCCTGTGTGGATAAACAGACCAGAGTTACAGGGGGATTATGGTTGTGAGTTAGTTCAAAGTAAGCAACCACCAAGTAAATAACAGACAAAAGGTCAAAATTACAGTGTCTTACCTGATTCCACCATAATGTCTTCATCAGCGATCCATGTCTCACCCTCACTGGAGCTCATTTCTGCTTCCCTGATGGATTCGTCTGGCTGCACCTTCCCCATGCTCTGCATGCTCGAAGAGGAGCCCCCGTGCCCAGGCAGCTCTTCCCTGCCAGCTCGTACCTCGGAGTGCGTATTCCGTGCCTCGGAGTCAGTCTCGCTTTGAGGAGCTGAACTCTTGAGCTTCTTAGCTTTGGGCTGTTTTGAGTTCTTGCTGCGTTTGATACGGGCTCTTTTCTCACCCTCGCTGCTGCCACTATCTGCTGCCCCCATGGCAGAATCCAGTGACAGCTTTTTCAGTTTTTTGTCCTTCTTGCGCTCTCCCTTAGTGCTGGCCTGGGTCTCATACAGAGAGTCTTTAAGCTGCATCTTATCCAGCAGGGTGCTGTCAGAGTGCATGCGCCGAATACTTTTGCCCTTATTTGCTCGAGCTTTGCGGACAAATGTATGGATGGTGTGGATGTCGGAGCCCCCATCTGCCCAGGCATTGCCATTGGAGCTGCTCCCTCCACCTCCACCATCTGCTGACAACCCTGAACTGTGTGCAGAGCTGGATGATGTTGGGGACCACGAGCTTTCCTATAAAAGCAGACAAAAACATCTTCTGTCAAAACTGCAAAGTAGTCACTACATCTAATATGATACGTAAAAAAAAAAATGGAGGGGGGAGAGAAAAAAAAGCAACAGCTCACCTCTTTTGGACTGGGGATGTAACCGGCATAAGCCAGGACAAAGCTGCAGAACTTGTTGAAGTCCTCAACAGTCCTCTTCTTCTTCTCTGGGGGCTACAGGAAACACATGTCTTTGTTTAAGAGAGTGAAGCTAACCTACACAGCCCTCCACAACAGAGGGCAGCTGAGTCAAATAAAGTGCTCAAATGATAAAAAAAAAATACTCACCAGAGGTTCCGTTTTACACGTTAACAGTGAATCTGTTGAAAAAAACAAAAAACAAAACACGTCTGTAAGTCACAAGTGACCACTTTTCAGCTGCTTAACAGCCACTACATTACAAAGCATACCGTTGCCGAGGGAGAGTGGACTAATGCTAGCATTAGCTTGCTAACACGGCTCAATACCTTAATCGGGATTATAAACGATGAAGCGCATGCTGGTCTTATTTGAAAACAGTGTGTTTGTAAAAGCTACGTTAAGTTAACGTCCATATTTGACTGAAGGTCAATTGAGCGGAAAAAAAAGACCAACTAACATCTTCAAGACAACTTCTGCGTCCTTAAACAACGCAACCGGTGTCACTTTGTGACTGCTTGAACTTCACAAAATTAGTGGGTGTGTAAAAATCACTCTAGAAGAAGAGTTCGTTGTTTTCACGCCAGGTTTATAAGGAAAAGTTGACTGGATTGCTAAAAACGCGTCTGTTTGCTGGACACCATGCTTTTGGTACATTTTGTGTGTATGCTAATGCTAGGTGACGTTTAGCGGGGAAGCTAACTGAATGTTATGCAGTTTGTAGCGTTAACGGCAAACGGGCAAGGGAGAGTAACTTCATTTCACTGAGCTTTTGCAACAATAGTTTTGCGTGGCCGAAGGCTTAATTTGATATTTTTAAGGGTTGTCTTGTGGCTAACACCCTCTTGATCAGCTAGCAAACCAAGGTAGCTTTCTTGATATAGTAGTGGGAGGCTCCATAGCAGAGATAGCTTTGTGCTATCGGCTAATGTTAATCGGGCGTGTCGTGCTGGCTACCTTTGAAGTTTGAGCTAATGTCCAAAAAAAGGGGAGATTTTTCTGAATTATATTTGTAAGCCATGTTATCTCAACTGACACATTAGAGAGGCTTCGGTGAGTTTGTTTGCAACCGTGGCTATGCAGCTATTAAGCTATGCGGTTCGGCGCGTTAATTAACTAGCAAGCTAACGGGAACTGTGTAATAAATGTTAACGTCAAATCTATGAACTACAATCACTGTACAAAAAAGTTGGAATCACACAGTCTTCACTTTTAAAGAACTTTCACGGTAGTTTAACGACAACACGTCCGACTGTTGGTCAATAGCGAGCTGTGACATTATTACAACACACGCAACAACGACGTTAGCCGTAACTCACTTTAGCTTACTGTCCTCAAAACGACAGCTTTACGCGATGAACAGATTAACATCAAGTGAGGACTGTTTTTCGTTGGGTTTTGTTGATAGTCCATAAGCATACCTTGGTGTTCAGACATTATGTCAAGCATTGTCGCCTCGCCGACACGGCCTCGATCCGAGAAGCAGAAACAGCAGGCGAGCTAGCCGGAGAGTGGCGGCCGTCGCTCTGCGCCTTCTCCCGGCGTGGCTGCACCTTAGCACCGGGAAACTTTGGCAGCAGAAAGCCAAATGTGTGGAGGATCGAAGATGCTGTCCTTCAAAGAAACTCCACACTTTTTCGAAGTCGTCCTTGTATTCCCTCGAGGGGGAATCCCAAACGGGGGCAAACCACCACCGACCTGTCGCCACACTATTAGCCCGACAAAATACTAATACCACCGTCGCTTGTTCTCAAATCTCCCACTCTTCGTCAGTGCACTAATCTATCCACAACAGAAGCGTAAACTTTCATTTAATTAACGCTGCAAATCACTGCAGATCCATGACGGAAACTTCCCTCGATGAAGTTTTTCGTTTCTTCGTCGTAGACATACAAAACGACCGAAGTTGGGGCTTTTTATTCCGCACGGTCCTCTTCGTGCGCGGCAGAAGCCTCTTGAGGCTGCCAGCGAAGGGTGTGCTGCAGTGTATGCTGGGTAATGTAGTTTAGTTTTCAGCCTTTCACCAAACGCGTTTACGGGCGTAAACGTTTAATAAACTACATTTTCCTTCATGAAGACGATTGAAGACACAGGGAACTATGGGATACGAAGTTTTTTTTATTTACTCTAACCACCCCAAACATAGTAGCTAGCGAAATCTGCTGTACTTTCACTGGACAGGGAAAGCTTTATTTTCCTGCGAAACATTACTTGTAGCGACTTTAGGTACTTATAATTGTTAGCTTTAAGCTATGTCGTTCTCGTGAAGGCAAATTACTCATGTTTTCTTAAGTATTCATGTTTTAAACGTCGGTGAAGCAGAGGCATGCTAACTAGCTGATGCTACCATGTTGTCTGAACTATTGCAAGGCGCTGATACTGGGGCGGTTCTTATAATACAAGGTAAATATGTGAACGTTGTCGACCATACGTATACATTGTTATCAATAATGATGACATTAATTGATGTAATTTATACTTTCATAGATTCTTGTAGTTATTCTGGGCAGCACCTACTTAAGAGCTTCATCAGTGCCGCATTGAACAAGTATGTAACCGTGTTTCCTTGTATACCTATTGTTGCCTAAAATATGTCAAAGTTGTGTATTGGCTTAAACAGTAACTGGCCTGTGCTATGATTTTAGAGAAGAACCTGTCCACGTGCTTGGTTTTGATGTCAGTGAGGAAGAACTGAAAGATGGATTAACAGCATCTACTCAGAGGTATTGAACTTTAATGCTGAAACAGTTATTTGATCAACAACAAATGATGTGATTTTGCTTAAAGGTTTACTTCATCTACCAAGCGAAATGCATAACAGTACCTGCTTTCAATTTTTTCCAGTGTGAGCCATTGTTACTCCGTTAAAGGAGTGTGTAATGTGTTTTTTCTAATGGCCATATACCATATATAGACTAACCAAAGACCCACACATTGGACAGCTAAATGGAAACATGATACACAAGGAAATACTTGATGTATTTGGTGCACATGGCAGATTCTATTACACCAGACTATTTTCTTCCTCAGAAGGCCTCGGGTCCCTGCCTTCTCACAGCAAAAACTGAGTTTTCAAAATTCTTTAAAGTTGATGTTTTAAAATTTCAGTCAATGTTTATTTTTCAGCACACCCTGAACTTTCTCATGAAGAAGTATTTAGGAAGGACATTCAAAGGTCTTCTTTAGATTTTGGCTGGCTTTTGTTGTGTTTGCTGTTGAGATGGTCCCACACTGCTTCAGTAATGTGGAAGTCCAAATGTGGATTCATAACTCTATCAGACTTGTTTTCACTGATTTTCAGCCAAGTTCTTGTGTAATCTGGCATACCTCAGCCCTTTCTCACTGTTTCCTTAACAATAGCTTCTTAACAGCCTTCCTTCCGCTGACACCATTTCTGGATCTTTAACATGGAATCAAACGTTCATCTTGTTCTTCTTTTACTTCAGGTTGCACTTTCACAGTGCTTATACGGACCCCCTTGGGTGGACTAATCGGTCGGCTTTTACAGTTCACCAGTTTTGTGTGGAGGAACTCACTCATCTGCTCAAACAAACATCACACCCCAAACCAGTGACTTTAGTAATCGACTCGCTGTCATGGATATTGAGACATGTGAGTCCACCTGCTGTCTGCAAGACTCTTCAGCAGCTTAAGAAAGGTGATAATGTATCTTCTGTGTCTCTGTGTGTGTGATTTAAGGTCCATGTCTTCAGTAATTTTACAGAATGGGAGGAGGTCATCTGAGCATGCTTTTAATGCTTTGACCTTTTACCCATCTTTCCCTGAGCCTAACTGACCACAAATTCAATCGCATCAGCATTTCTGTTGTGCGATCTGCAGCAATACAAAACAAAACCTAACGCAGAAAAGATGCTTGTCTTGGCTTCACCCCCAAAAATCTATTAAGTGGTTATCTTCCTTTAAAAAGCATATTATGCATAAAAGGCTCTCTGTGTTCACAGTCCTTCACGGGTGGCTTATTTTTAGTAGGCTGTGCAGCACTTCCCTCTGTTTAACGATTACGTTCTGTTTTCATTAGGGGGAGCCGTGAGAGCTGTTATTGGTCTGCTCCACGCAGATATGCACCAGAGGGGTACTGTGGGAAGTGTCTGCCACTTAGCTACTTCAGTTATCACAGTGGCACCTGGAACGAAGGGAGATGAAGCAGTGGCAAAAATAACAAAGCGATCAAAGTCGGGGAAAGTTACGCAAGATGTAAGAAGAGCTTGAACTTTAATTACTATTTTAAATTCCTACAACTTTTATGAAATATTTATTGTTCTGCTTTTTGTCATTAGGAGGAGATATTCAGCATCAAAGGGGATTTCTCAGTTACTGTAGTGAGTAAAACCAGCCATGCTGGACGCAGACAGACTGAACCAGAGGAACAGCAGGTACAGCGTAACATGTGTACAACAGCTTCACACATTATACGGATAAATAAGCAAACTTGTTATGACGCAAGTGTCCTTTTTGTGTCTGTGTAGACGGACCCAACAGCTAACTTGACTTTCAACATTCGCCTGTCTGACACAGAGCGCGAGGCCAAGGAGAAACTTGCTCTTCCCTTTGTCTTCAGCAAAGAGAAGTCAGACTTTTTTTCAGTGACCACATCTAATATATGTTGATTTTCTTTCTTTCTTTTTAAAACTTTTTTAAACAAACAACCTAAAAATACAGTTCTCTTTTAATCTTGCAGGAAAACCGCTCTGCTCCAATCGGGCCCAGGTTCCGGTCGAATTCTGTATGAGCCCGATGCCAACGATGACTACGACCAGGAGGACCCTGATGATGATCTTGATGTTTAGATTTAAGGCAGGAAAATCTGCTGAAGATCCACGTTTTATCTGCTTTTTTTTTTACCATTGAAGGACTGAAAAGCTTTCAATGCTTTAAACTTATTTCATGTGTGCTATCTGTTGGATATGTACGAGACGTTATCATTTCACTTTTTCTAAAAATATAAACTTTATGTTGTTGTTTGTGGATAAAATTTTTATTTTTTTCTGGTTGGTTATTTACAAAATAATTTATTTTTGATTTTGTGACTTTTGCACTGAAATGACTGGGTTTTTTTTGCACTATGATTTATTGCAGTGACTGGGACAAAAATAAATGAGTTCACAAGTGCTTAAAGACCAAAAAAAACCAAACCCCAAACAGGTTTCTCTTACACAAAACAGTATTTATTACTTGTGTGCATCTTAAAAATCCTGGATATCTGTTCATCTGCCACATCCTCTAAACATCCTATAGTAGGAATTAAATCAAATGCTGCTCACAACCAGAAAATGTCCCGTATGTATATATTGTCTCATTGGCAAAAATGATCTCAAACCAGTTGCTCTTTTGGGTACAATACTTAAATACTTTTTTAAATTTATGAGCCTTTGAGGTTGATTTATAATCAATATATGTTTAAAATATGATTTGTGAAAGGGAAGGTTTACAAGCTGGTACTCAGACCTGCCACAGTGTATGGTTTGCAGACAGTGGCAGTGACAAAAAGACAGGTGGTGGCAGAGCTGAAGATATTAAGATTATTATTAGGAGTGGCCACAATGGACAGGACTAGAAATTAGTACATCAGAGGAACAGCTCAGGCTGAGCAGTTTGGAAACGAAGGCTGATATGGTTTGGACATGTACAGAGGAAGGATAGTTGATACATTGGATAAAGGATTTTGAAGTTGGAGCTGCCTGGCAGGAGGGAAAGAGGAAGGCCACAGAGGAAGTTCATGGATGTCACAGAGGAGGATGTGCAGAGGGCTGCTGCAACAGAGCTAGGGAGGGGGTGAGTTGATCCACTGCGGTGACCTCTATAGGGAGAAGTCCAAAGAAGTTGAAAATGTATACTGATTTATAGATGATGTCAGCAGGTAGGTCTGATGGCACTAAATAATTAGTTTTGAGCAACAGTTCGACATAAACACCGATGCCAATTGCAGTGTCAGATTTAATAGTCTGATAGTTTACAGAAATTTGATTCAAGCAACTTTTTAGCATTGATTTACAATTACCAAGTCCGTGATTTACTGACAGCTGTCAAATACAGTCACATATTCATTTCAGTTTGGTTTGATATTGTCGTTATACAAGCTACACAATGCTCCAATAAATCATTACATTTCCTCTTAAAAATATACAGGCCCGTCCATTACCACCAAGTCACACGGCTTTCTCACCAAGAGTTATGTTTACGTAAAACTCCACATACGTATTTATGTAAGAGTACAGCTGAAGAGCTAAAGAGCAAACTAAAAGTTGTTAATTTGAAGGTTTTAGTTGACATGCTCGTCCTCGTCGGTTTGTTTTCTTTCCACGTGGACGTGCTGCGCGCAACCGAGCTGGTCGCGGAAGTGACGGCAAGGCGGCGATGGCGGCTCGCAGTTTCATTCCGGATTTCCACTGGACTACAAACTGATTTTAACCGGCCCGGTTAGACTTTGGGGAACTTTTGCAACACTGTCTCCATTCGGAAGCCGCACAGACTCAAGTCGCGTTGAAGTGGTGCCTGTCAAGGAAGGACCCCACAGCTTTTTTGTGGTCTATTTTTCTCCAAGGTTCAAGGTGGTCACCCTGTCGAGCTAGCGGTAGCTCGGTGGCTACGAGCTAACGGTAGTTGGTATACATACGGCTAGCTCCTGAGCTAGCTTGTCAACGAGCTGCGTGCTAAGGTCCACACAGCAGCAGTCGTCGTTCTCCGGCTTTTTCTTCGACCACCTCATCGTTTGCTTGTCACCGTTACAATGAGAAGTTACCCTGTTTGATGCTAATTGTGCCGCAATTGTGCAGAGCGAGGTACTCACACGTTTGCTTGGCCTCTCCAATAATTAAGAGTTGCTAGTTTGGCGGCTGTGGCTAAACACCAGAATTTTGACTCTGTGGTAAGCAAGTCCTTTCAGTAATTACCCCTTCCCAGCAACTTGGGTGAAAACCGCGTTGCCTAGTTATTAACATGCTGAAGACCCGGCAGTGTTTACTTGGCATCCGCACTTTTCTCGGCGTTACGTCCAGAATATGGGGCTTCATCATGTACATCCTCAGGAAGCACCTACGAACGGTGAGAGGGGCTTTGAATAATGTGTGACACTTTTCCGTGCAAGTCTTTACTTTGCTATGACTCCAGTGTGTCTGAATGTTTTAGTTTTAAATGAAACCCACCTGATGAAAAGCTTGGTTGGTTTTCAGAGAGCCAAATTACTGGCGCTCTCCACCTGAGATGTCATAATATTATGACAGTTTTTTACATGTCAGAAGCCTCAACCTCCCAGTTAGTTATCAAAAAGTATTGCTTAATTATTCATAACAACTATTTTTTACACAACTAAGTTTTCTTTTAGTTAAAACAGTAAATTGAACCTTTATTGTAAAGCATCAGACACATTCCCGCAAATGATGAGTCAATGAGTCAAGTGCGCCAAAATATCCTCATGACTGCTTTAATTAATTATTTAAAAGTTCCACTAATTATCTCATTTTAAATTTAATTATCTCATTAAATTTTCTTTAAATTGGTACTTGTCAAATCTCTTTAGGTTATGGTCACAAGTCTTTAAATGGTCTAAAACCTAAAAGGCTAGTTAAATTTAAAAAAAAAAGAAATGTCAAAATGTTTCTAAATCTAAAACCTTGCGATAATTAGCTTCCCCCCCTCCCCCTTGCACATGTATTGCATGATTAGTTATCAAAACTGTTGCAGATTCATTTATGAATGATTGGTCAAACATCAAAACTGTGTGTCGTTTTTTTTTTGTTGTTTGTTTGTTTTTAATTGCAGGACTGCTTTATCCGGCTGCAGTGCTCAGTGAAAACTGCTACATCCAAACCCTAAATTTAAAGTGCATTAAGCGTGCAGGTCACCTTCAATCGCTCAGAAATGCCTCCACAATAAACATGGCATTTAAGGTGACATAAGCCACCTGTTTGTAACTTAGACATATGCGCAGGTGTCGTGGTGTCGTTAATAGATGTGCATATGTGGTGTAACATGAGTGGACTTTGGCTCGAGCGCCATATCAAACCAACAAAGCTTGGAGGACTGCCCCGTGTGTTATAATCATCTTGCTGTTTAGAGGTTTGTCTGTAGTTGATTGTGTGGCAGTAACACCTCAGGCCCTGAGTGTGAATAGTTTAGTCCATGTTGTGGCTGAAGTGAGAGGGATTAAGTCAGCACAGAGAGTGCACTGTTCTCCCTCTCGCTGCCTCTGTTTCTCTTGTTCTCACTCGCAGTTTAGCTCTCTTGTGCATGGTCTGTGATGCACTGGAAATTTGTCATGATGATCCAAGTGCAGGGCATCTATTATGCTGATATGGCGGGGTTGGGGCTGTTTAGAGGGAAGTGTGTGTGTGTGTATATATATTCTCACAACAGGGATAACCAGTTTTCTACACTTAATAATAACCTCTTGTTTATCCACAATACGTAGATCTAAACGAAGATAAGATTAATTGGATTATGTATTTTAGGAACCGGTCATAATCCCAGGCACGCTATCCCATGTCAACAAATGACGAGGTGGTTGGTTATTAATCTTACCCACATCACTGTTACATAATCGTTGTTTATCATTCTGCATGCAACAATTGGCTAAGCAAAAAAATAACTACCAGCTTACATAGCTGATATTTGTACTTACTGATTAGCTGATTAAGAATAAATCTTCAATGGTTTTCATAACTAGTTAATGGATAATATACTTTTTTTTTAAAGCAGTGTTGCTCCAAATCATCCGCTGTATCTTCTTTCTGCAGATCTAATGGTTAAATTAATGTCTTTATTAATCCAAAACAAGCAGCCTGAATATGTTGTCTTCAGCTCTGAAACAAACATGAACCAATTAATTAAATTGTTTTACAAATTAATTAAGGGGAAAAAATGTTAGTTGCTGCCATCGTCCATTTCTAGTCATTAGTTATGTCCGAGTGTTCTGGTTAAAGGAACACGCAAGCAGAGGCCCGCTGCTACATGAGGGTTTTTCCTGCGTTCGAAAGATTTGGGCACCCACCACGAGGTTTTGATTCATCCCTAAGGGGAAACATCAGGACTGTGAAGTAATCTTTGTTGAATAAGAGTTTAATTTAGTAACAAAAAGAATTTTGTTTGTCGAATGGTTAGAAATAATGAGACAATAGGCAGACATCTGTCATTTAAGATATATCTATGCAGGGCACTTTTGTCTGGGTGTACAGTCACCCCCCCCCATAGACCAGTTTTAAACCAGGAAAAAGCCCTGCACATGTTGATGTAAAATTTAATAGTTTTTTTTAGATGATGGGCAGGAAAAACTAATAAAAATAGACCACATTTTATTGTTTATTGTTGCCTTAGTTTGGAGGCACAGGACGTGTGCGTGCCAGGTTTTCAGATGGACGTTTTTAAAGATACAGAGAGCTTAGTCGGGGGTGAGATTTCCCCCGTGGTACCCAGCAGCTGCTTCCAACAGTAGGCTTCTCCCAGGCTTGCCCTGCCAGGCAAGCGGGGGGGGTGGGGGGGGCATAGAGGGAGGTCCTGTCCAAGGCAGGTACCAAGCAGCTCAGTCAAAGTCACCCTGTGAGTCTCCCTTTCTGTGTGTGCCCCATGCAACGCTGACACCCACCGACAGCTGGGGGGGATAAAAATAGCCCTGTGAAGAAAAGTGCAGAGCCCCTGGGCAAGAGCGGCACTGGGAAGGATCCTCGCTGTAGTCATTTGGATCGCAGCAGAGGAAGCGCTATGGGTTGGACGCAAGCCACTTCATTATTTCAGTGTGGTGCCCTCCTCTGTCCCCTTACTTTATCTGGTTTCCTTAGAATGCTTTATCTTAAGGAGCTGAAAAATAAAAATTTCAGATCCTGGTAATATCTCTTATCAACCCAAAGCACAATTAGTTTTCCGTTTTTACTGTTATACCCTGAAAGATTCCTAAAAGATGAAACATTTCCTCTTCTGTAAAATCACATGAAAAGTTCTTTGAGGTCAGAGCGATTGTAAATAGGGGTTTGAGGCTTCTGTGTACTTGGTATGTATGGTATTGTCAAATATATCACAGTTTAAGCTCTGGTCGTGGTATATTTAAGTCATCGTTTAAGTGTTTAGTGCATGTTACAGTATGTGCTCCTTCTATTGAGAATTTGCTTTTTGATTCCCTGTGTTCATTTGCAGATAATCCAGTATCAGACGGTGCGATACGACACTTTGCCCCTGTCCCCCATCTCCAGAAACAGGCTCAGTGAGTACACTGTTGTTTTCATGGTATTTCTCTGTATAAAAGCTTATCTTGCTAAGTCTTAAAGATGCTTTCGCTAAGGCACATCAGTGTGTTGGCCACAAAATGAAGGAACCATAAAAGCATCTTTGTAATGTGGACAGAAGAAGAAGGTGATAAACAAGTTTGTCAAGTAAGAAGTGATTGTGCTGACTGGGACTTTTTCTGGAACAGATGCACAGTTTGGAAACTATCCCCCTCATGTTCACCTTTAAGTAAAGACTAAATGGCCACTATGTCAAACTGACTGGCTTCTCCACATAAGGAAAATCACACTAGCTTTTAGATACGTTTTTTTTCCATGACCTTCTTTTATAGATACAAATATTAAGTTGCATTAAATGGGTTCGTGCACAGCTGTATTCTTTTTGTCAATTGTTTTTGTCAATTGTTTCATAAACCTGTTTTGCTGCATAGGTCTGTTGTTTTTCTCTGTTTAACCAACTAATAGCTTAACAACAGAGTGTGGTTTTGCACAAAAGTTATTTGGCTGTATATTGGCACCGCAGCATTTCAATTAGATGACTTTATTTGGTTTTTAAAGTAAAAAAAGAACAATTGTAAACATAAAACAAATGTTCGTTTTTTGCAGAGCTGTAAATGTCGACTGAATATTTTCCAGTGAAGCGTACTGATACAGTCATGAGTGAGATAACTGGTGTTAGCAGCAATGTCAACACTGCATAATGCAAATAGTCTTTGACGTTATAAACTGCATTGCACACAGTCTTTAGTGATTAAGGATTAGTATATAGACCAGAGATATCCTCAAGATGTGTGACAGCAGTGCTAAAGTTGTGAATGCCTAATGTGTAGATGCACACTAGCTGTATATACCAACACCAACCGACAAACTTAACAATTATAACAGTATCAACGTGTGAGCATCCACATAATGCAATGTTATCTTTGATTAAAAAAACAAAACAAAAAAAAACTGGCTTTCTGCTTTGAATTAAAGGATAGGATATGTAAATGTTACAGGCTGGGCCACACCACTTGCTCAGGCACTGACTGGTTTGGTTTGTGAGCTCTGAATGAACTTCCCTTCTGTCAGCTGAGAGCTCATTCAACAGCACACTCTTGACTTAGAGGAAGGATTGTATTTCAGTCTACTTTACTTGCCTCTCACTCATTCCGCTGACGTCACCAGCACATCCAGGTCCAGTCTCTAGTGAATAAGTGTACATTAACTTAGCTGCAGATGGTGGGTATTTCTGCTAGAAGTAAAGCGGCAGTGTGGTTGCCAAATCTGTGCATTCGAATAAGGTCAGCTTCAAAGGTTAAAACGGTTACCCAGAGTCCTTGAAGCGCTTAACTGGAATCAGCTGGAGTGCCTTTGGGGGAATAAATGAGTCTACTGAAAAAGTAACTGGAATTGGCTGAAAACACATTAGGAAACTCATCAAGTCAGGGATTGCAAAGAGATGAGGGGAAAAAATGATGGCACCTGGGTCTCAGGGCTTTAATTTCCACTATTAATTATAAAAGAGGATGTGTTATAATATTGTTATAAGATACTTTTCATAAACCTAATCATAAACAATTCTTGCTCAGCCCATCATTTCTTGTTGACTTTGAATTAAAGTGGAGTACATTATATCCTCACCAGGCATAGAGGAAACTCACATAATGGGTTTCCTTTTGTTTATTTGCATACCATTTAAGTGCATCAATCAGAGTATTGGAGTCAGTAAATAATAATAAAGAGATCTTTACACATGGTGGTACACTCTGTTCTAAAAATTAAAACTGAAAAAAGACTAAGGAAGTTAACAACACCAAAACTGATGATGACTTTGTAAAAGTTTGTCCTTTCGCTGTGCTGTCTAAATGCTCTGAAAAAAATAAAATGGCTTGCCTTTTTTGGGTCAAGACTTAAAATAAGCAGTTCCTTGTTTGACATTAGGGCTGCCACAAATGATTATTTTGATAGTCGACTAGTCAC